CAAATGTTTTTCATTCTCTTCAGTGATCCGATTAGTGGTGAATTTCCTACGTCTGTACCGTGCATTGAGGCCAGGAATAATTTGGGACAAGGTGATCAGTCTTCTTAGTTTCCAGACTTCGGTGAGTTTTTCACTCCTGGTGAGAACCCAAGGGACACTGTCCATCAAAGCCTTATTTAATCAGTGCTTTTGCCGATTTAGCTTGCTCAATGCTAATGGTATTCTGATGATGCTATCTTTTCTGCTATGTGGTTCATCCAGTTCAATCTATTTGAGCCATTGGCTTACAGATAAGACATTTAGTCTAGGGAGTATTTCACATGGCTGATGGATTGAAATTATAATCTTACTACTCAAAGTGTAGTCCACAGACCAGCAGCCTTGACATCGTCTGTGAGTTTGGAGAAAATGCAGAATCTTGAACTTCACCCCAGACCTACTGGATCAGAATCTTCATTTTAACAAGATCCCCAGGTTTTATGTATACACATTAAGATTTGAGAAGCACTGATATACAAAATTTGGGACTAGATGGTGACCTCAAACTACTGTTCCCTAGAGTGTTGGAAATGATAAACCGAAACCTTTACGATATTTTCTTTTCTTTCTCACAATATATTTTTGTGATGAGATTGGAAAAAATACTTCCAACTGATGACTCTTGAATATATTTGGTATCACTGTGGCCCATCCATCACCACCAATTTCTCTTCATCCTTCTTTTCCTTTGTTGTTCTCTGAGTGTCAGGGGAGAGATGAGATTGATAGAAAATCGGATGAGTGTAACATCTACCTGAACAGGCATTTAAGGTGCACGGTCCTCTTGTTTTGGAACTGGCTAAGCTCTCAGTGTAAGCTTTCCTGGTGTTGATCAGTAGAATTTCAGACTAAGGTAGTGGCAAGATAAGAGAACACCTCCGTGCTCTGAGGATTGGGTTATGGGAAGGTATAGCTCTTGGTCAGAAACATTTGTCCCTCTCTGGTCTTGAGTGTCCACTTACAACTCATATGTACCGTTCTATTAGCTACACGGTAAGTATTTGAAGTAAAACCACCAACTGCCTCTGAGAAATCTGAACTCTGATTTCCATATATAAAATTCAGATTTCTTACCCCTGGAATCGCACCTTAGATAAAAACCATCAGCTAGTTTTCATCAACAGGTGCTGTCCATGTTTAGGTTTTACATAATTCTCAAATGAATGTTTGCACTTGGCGTGACACAGTAGAAAGACCAAGTATATTGGATAAAAATCCTGGTTCCATGATTTTATAGCTATATACCATGGGCAAGTTAATTCACCCCATCTGAGCCTCAGTTTCCTCAACTGTAAAATGAGGGTAATAAATACCCTGCAGGGTAGTGACAAGTGGTAAATGAGATCATGAATGTAAAACTCAGTCAAGAATAGTTCTAACTTTCTTCTAGTATACACGTGTATGTAGGTCAGGTGCCATGAGTGTTATGGTGTATATATGTACTTCAAAATGAGCATAATTTGACTTGGGTTTATTAGATGCTCCTAATCTTATTAGATGACTGCCAATTTAAATTTCAAAGAGAAGTCTTGGTAGGTATGACAGTCCGACCGAGAATGACTACACACACACACGTACACGGTTCTCTAGTAAAACTCCCAAGTATGGTGATTAGGTCATCAGATCATTAGTATGTCAGAGGTCCTGTCTTCTTATACTTTTTGCATGATCTCACTGTAAATATATTTTGGAAATGCTCTAATCCTTTTCAGAAAGGTAGTGACGTGAAGATGTTGTAATAGAATAAATGAGATGAGGGGTGAGTCATACACATGGGCAAGAACTCAGGCAGGTAGTAAGTTGGAGAAACCACATTGTTATGACACACAAATAACCAACAAAGCTTTAACACCAAAAATATTTTTAAAATTTGTAATTAAAGGCCTTATAAGTGTTTAGCATTTAAAGTGTAGTATTGTGAAAAAACATGCCTAAAGTGAATGAATAATATTCAAAGACCTTAATGACTTAAAAACTTAAATACTGTACCTAAGAGCTACTTGATAATCATGGTAATCTTTAACCTGTAAGGGTCTTATGGTTTCTTAGTGAAGGAGAACATTGCTTACCCACTCTGAAAATAGAGCACCTCTCAGTGAAACTCTTGGTCTGTGTGATCTGTAAGCGTAAATATTTATTGAAAAATTGTTAAACTTAAAGCCAGAGTCAAAAGGAACTGAAACTCAAAGATAAGATAGAGAAGAATTTACGCAGGCATCTAAATATGGTCTAGTGAGGCACAGCGAATGTCCCTCCTCCCTGGATTGGGGCTATACTGCTTGGTCTCCATTTGTGAAGAGGCAAAGAGGGGAGTTGTGAGCACACATGGGCAATGGCTTTACTCGGCCATCTTCGAAGAGGGAAGACCTTGGCTTTTCTCATGGATGCTTTGATACATCCCATATGGTTTTTGAACTAGGACGTCACTAGACATCCATTTCAGCATTAAAATGATTAAAATTCTGGTTGAAAGCTAATGGATTAGGCTTAAATCAGCTGCTGTCACTGAGCAAATAATAGACTCTTCTATTTAAAATACTCTGTTTTAATTATCTATTGCTGCGTGGAAAACTACTTTAAAACTTAACCATTTTATTTGCTCACAATTCTGCAGGTCAGAATTTTGGATTTGGAATAGTGGGGGTGGCTTGTCTCTGCTCTGTTTGGGGCCTCAGCTGGATTGGCTTGAATGGCTGAAATCCAGCTGGAATGGCTTGACCAAAGTCATGTCTGGAGCCAAAGTTCTGGCTGTTGGCTGGATTCCTCAGTCCTCCTTCATGTGACCTGTCCATGAGGCTAGCTTAGACTTCCTCACAGCACGGTGGTCTCAGGGTAACTGAACTTCTTACGTGGTAGCTGGCTTCCTAGAGGGTGCATTCAAAGAGGATAAGCCCAATGTGAAGGTATTCATTAAGCCTCTGCTTTTGTCATGTTTGCTTATGTCCCATTGGCCAAATAAAGTCACATGGCCAAGCCTACCGCCAACATGGGAGGTACTACACAAAGGCATGAGTACTGGTGGTAGGGATTCTTTAGGGATCACTAATATCTACAGCATAATCAGAAAATGATACTATTATTTAGTATCCAGGGAGTCCTGGTGGTGCAACAGTTAAGTGCTCAGCTACTAACTGACAGGTTGGCGGTTTGAACCCACCCAGTGGCTCTGTGGGGAAAGACCTGGCAATCTGCTTCCATGAAGATTATAGCCAAGAAAACCCTATGGGACAGTTCATCTCTGTCACACAAAGTCAGTATGAGTCGAAATTGACTCAACAGCACCACCACCACCAACGTTTAGAATCCACTTTCTATCGTGAAAGACTAATAACGTACATGTCACTGTGATGCAATATTGCTTCATGTCTATAAAGTATATTTTTGTACTTGTTATTTTTATCCCAAAGCAATAGTATGTTCTATTATTTGAGATAAAAGTAAACCTTCTTATCACCATGCTACAAACAGTCTGTGCTCAATAATGTATGTGAGTCCACCTGTAAAGAAACAAAAAACATCCAATTCCTAGGGCTACCTCAGGCTTATTTTTTCCTTGCAGTCATTGACATTTTTACATATTGGTTACAGCTTAATAGTGCATACCTTCATTATTTTGGCTCTTCAGTAATTCATACATTTGTAATTATTGTTTTTATTTGCTACAAGTTTTAAAAACTATATGATGTTTTCTTCATTTCTGATGTTTTCATACGTCGGAGATGCTGGAATAGGCAGGAACGAGTCTTTAGTCCCAGGTGGGCTTCACTAACCTTTCTAGATTTTAGTGTCCTCATCTATTATACAAGAGTATTCAATCAGTTGGCTGCCAGGTTTTCTTCTAACACCAATATTTTTTTATTGGAACTTATGTGTGATGCCTTGGTGAACTATTATAGAAATATAAGATGTGCATTTGAGAAGTACTAAAACTGTTATTTCTTTAAAAAAAATTTTGCTTACATGTTCTGTACATGAAGTTTTTTCAGTCACTTAGCTTAGAGATATTTTCCCCTAGGGGGTCTCTTAATTGCATATGCTACGACTTTACTTTGTGGAAAATTTTAGGAGGGAAAGGAATGAGGAGGCTAAAATAACACCGCAAATTTTTATCATAACTCCTATTAGGAGCCTAATGCTTTGGCAAAACATGTGATTAAGCACCTGGAAGAGATCTTTTTCTAGACTTAGGTGGAAGTATTTTTGCAGAGTTTTGTGAGATACTTTTTAGTATTCATCTTTCTTCTAAGTTTTTATTTAGCTGTATTTCCTCGAAGCAGTTCTCCACAGTTCTTTAACATGGAACTCTAGTTATAAACATTTGGGAGTGACATGAAAGTTCTTATTTTTCTGTTAGCTTAGTTAGAGTTAAATACTTAATACTCTAATGCTTAGAATGTTAAAAAATTGGTAATACAGGGACAAACAAACACGTGCTCCCCCGAAGCTACTAAATCGTGGTTCTCAAACTTGGCTGTAACTGTAATTACTTGGGTAGCTATAAAAAATATTGACGGTGATGGCTGGGTCTTAATATTCAGAGATTTCCATTTAATTTGTTTGGAATGTGGCCCGAGCATTAGAATTTTTAAAGTTTTCCAGGTGATCCCAAAGTGCAGCCAAGTTTGAGAACGCTTGCAGTAAAGAAACTTACTCTGATTCCCTTCCCTTACCCACCATTTCCGGCCAAAATTGGAAACCTTGCTCCCTCCCTTCTCAGCTTTATGACCTTTCACGAAAACATACACTGCAGTTGCCAAGGTTCCTTAATAATGAATTTGCATGAAGTTCAGTTCCCTATTTCACACATTATTAACAATGTGTAAAAACACTGATGGAAATATAACCATTTAGTAAAGGTGTGTATTTGATTAGATTTAAAAACATTAAATGGCTCTATCCAACAATTTTGTAGTACCATTGGCAAATATGTTGATATAAATATTAAATTCCAGAGTAAGACTTTATACCTCTCTGAATTAGTCAACTATTTGTTTAATTAGATTTTGGGTAATGGAATGATAATTGGTATTTATTCAAAGGTCTCTATAATGAAAACAATAAAATTTATCACAAGTAATGGAAACAGTTTCCTTTATGTGGGCTGGGTGTGTGTGGGTCAAAACCAAATACAAACGGAGACTTGTTTGGTTGGTAACTCACCTGAACACACAGACAGTAATTAGTTTGTAATGGGTATTTTGAAAGATTAGGGGGCTGATGTAGATGTGCCAGAGAGGTTATCCCAAGTATTGCTTAGAGCCCAAGCTCATGAAATTTTCTCTTTATTCAGACATGTGATTTCATTTCTCTCGACTTACTTCTCCTTAGTGAATTAGAGACAATTATTTATTGATAGGGTGACCAACCATCGCATTTTGTCTGGAACTGAGGAGTTTCCTGGGCAAATTGAGATGAGTTGGCTACCCTGATTGTTACAGTGAAAAGAAGATATTAAGGAGATTTTAGATCCTTGGATAAAAAATTATGCATATATTATGATTCATTATTACTAAATCATACATAAACTTACGGTAAATGGAAAGTTAGTGATTATTTTCTGAGTCTGGTATTAGAACTTTCTCTTCACCTTGCCATAGTTTTTGAATATTCTTTGAAATATTTTGCTAGCAATGTTCAGAATTCACCTGGAGAAAAATATGTATATTTGTTGTACATTTTTTAGATTCTAAGAAAGAGATACTAATGCCCCAAATAGAGTGAATTGGTGAATTTCTAGATCTGCTTTGAGACTATAGTATCCTCTTACCATAAAGAAGTTCTCTTAATACAATGACATAGAAAAAGAGAACAAATACATTCTAATATGAACTTGCTCTTGCCCTAAGTAGCATCAGAAGTCACTATAGACAGATACCACACAATGAGAACTCATTGAAGATGTCTCTTGGTTATTTTCGAGATTCTTTGAAATAATCACCCACTATACATTTATAATTTACACCAGAGAATTAATGCATTTCATTTTATACCAGGGGCTCTCCTGGATTCTTTTTGTCTAATTTCAGATTGGTAGGGGCTGGTTTTCTATTGGTTGGGAATTAGGAATCAGAAATACCAATTGTCGGCTTAAAGGGAAGGCTAATCTAGCTTTAACAGCTATGTCCAGGTTAGAAAATATCAAAAGCAATTCTTTCCAAGATAGTATTATAATACAGAAATAAAAAAATATACTGGACATTGCCAATATGTTAGATGACAATGGAGCTAAATGACACCCACTTTTAATCTGTTAACAGCTGTATAAGGAGTCAAGACGCTCAGATCTAAACCCAATTGCATCAGTCCAGTGAGTGTTTGGGTAAAGTGCTTTTACTGCTCTGGGCCCCAGTTTATTTGTCTATAAAATGGGGGAGTTCGACTAGCTTGTTCCTATGGTCCCTTGAATTGCTAATATCCTATAATTCCATGTACTACATTCTGATGACATCTTGTGGGAAGTGTAGCTCTCTCCTTCTCTCCAGCGCCGCTCCTCTGTACTGGCTTTGGAACAATAGCACATGCTGCTATGATTTGAGAAAATGGCATCTGTTCAGAGGACAGAGGTGCACAGTCTTAGTGCTTTAACCGCCTACTGCCGCTCAGCATAATACTCTGGATCCTGCTGATTGCAGTTCGGATCTTGGATGAGGGAGTTCCCCTTTGGGGTCTTAGTATCTGCCTGTAATTTTTTTGGTTTTTGTTATTTCCTTTTCTAAGTTCCTTTCTCTAGCTTTAACTCTCTTTTAAGCCCTTAAGGTTTCTTTCTTCTTTTTTTAACCGTGAGATGGAATAATTTCAATGTGGCTTTCTGAGCCTTCCTTCTCTATTTTTCCCTCCTTCCTGCCGGCAGAGATCCTCCTGAAGACTATGAGATCTTCATGAACTACATCTACTCCCTGAGCTGCATGACTGCAGGGTAACAATTCTGATCAGTGTTCAGCCGCTGTGGACGCACTTGAGGCATTAAGGTCCCTCTGGATCTTTCGTGGGCAATGCTGAGAACCTCTGGTTAGAATGAGACCTTAACGTCCTATCTCGCCTTGGGATATGACCTTTCTGGTTAGAGCCAACCGCTTAACTACTGTGCCACCAGAGCTCCATGATATATATATGTATATATATATGTATATACATATATATGTGTGTGTGTGTGTGTATGTATATATATACATACATACATATATATTTATATACATATAAACACAGTGTAGCTGGTGTGCAGTTGATTGGCTACAAAACAGATGTTTAACAACGGGAATCAGAAGACTGTAGTAGGAAAACAGAGCTTTAAACTCATAAGCTTGTATTCTGATTCAAAAAGTGCAGCAGTATATTAAGATCATTATGGAAGGTCTGGTAATATTGATACAGAGAAAATGCAAGTTTCTGAGTTTGATAACTCCAAGGGTACCTCTTAGGACTCATCGGTGAGCGGCTGGGCAAGGACTTTCCATTGAGAACAAACAGTTTACAAAGGGCAAAAGCTTTTATTGGCCTCACACATACTTTTGGATCTCATTCACTTGAGTAAGAACTGTTCTTCCATTGATGCTCTCCTGCGTGATAGCCTTGACCTTTGGAGCTGTAGACACTGAGGGAAAGAAGCAATGAAGAGGTCACTGCCATGCTCCTTCCACCATCTGAACTGTACTTTCAGCTCCCTGCTCCCAGGACCTGAATTTCTGTGCCTTCCAAATGATCACTAAGCAATGTGGCTGGCTCTTCTGTAGTGAAAGGAACCTCACAAAGAAAGGTCTTTCCTCCCACTCTCTAGGGAATGAGTATATATGAACAGTGTCACCTTCTAGAGATGAAACCCTTAATCCTAGGCTTGCCTGATGGAGAATCCGGTTTCTGACCAGAGAAGTCCTTTCTGCCCGTGTGGGCTTTGTAGTGTTGGACCACAGATTCTGTGAGTTTACAGAGCACCAAACGCCATTCTGGGCACCTCAGTTTAAGAGGGACATTAGTACACCCAAGTGGGCTGAGGGCAGTCATGGTTCTAGAAAGCATGCCAGACGAGGGATGAGTAAGATGCCAGGAATGTTTATCACGGTCACTGTTCTCAAAGATATAACATTTGAATAAATGCCTTGTTGACACATCAATAAACTGATTCTAGATCAGAGGGCAGAATTGAAAGCATTAATAGAAATAAAGGAGAGAACTTTAAAATCAAGCTTCTCCAACTGTAGATTGTGCCATCCTATAAAGTAGCGGGTTCCCCATCCCTAGACATGGATAGGGAGAGGCTGAGGAACCATCCGTCAGGATATTGCAGAGGGGTACCAGTTAGGTTAGCTGTTATGTGTTGATTCCTCCAACTCTGATTCTTTAAGTCTCTAATGCCTTAGAACACTTTTACTATAAATTAATCAGAAAGTACAGCTTGTCCCAAACTTTGGCTGCCTGCACTTTTCTATGAGATGGTGTATGTTATCTGAGAAAACAGGATTCCCAGGTCAAAGAAGTTTGGGAACACTGGGTTGAACAAATCACAATTTTTGTTGTTGCTTCTTTACCTTTCTTATTCCTTTTCTTCCCAGCAGGAGTACTTGTTCAATCCTTAACATACTAAAATGCAACCTGACTCTTCAAGAGGAGGATAATGGGACATCGTTTTCCCAAGCTTATCTGGCTATTGAACACATATCTCATAATATACTATTAAAATCTCATGGAACACTAGTGTTCAACAGAATATAATCTGGGAAATTATGTGGAATCATTTCCTGTTAATTTTCTAGGAGTTTAGTGAATGGACTCCATTATTTCACGTTATTGTGGTTAGTTGCTATTGAGTTGGCTGTAACTCATAGTGAGCTTATATCTAATAGAACAAAATGTTTCCCAGTCCTGTGCCATTATTTAACAGAGGCATAATATTAAGTATCATTTTTATCTACTTTACTGCTTGCAAAGAACTTTCATATATATTGTAGAGGACAATAATGAGAGCTTACTTTGTTCTGTACTACGTAATTTGTTAACTTGATTCAAAATTTCTGGCTATCTGAGAGTAAAATTAACCAGTACATTTGGGAGTATGCTAAGAATTTTTTCTTACCTTTCAGACTTGACTTGGATTCTTCCATTATCCTATAAAAGTGATAAAGGTTAAAGTTCACTTTAGTATTAGCAGCAATCGTAAAAACTCAGAACGTACTAACTTCCTTTGCCTGCTGGTAAATTCTCAGCTCTTTAATGAAGATAATTGTCCGAGGTGGGTTGTCACAAGGTTATGAGTTCATAGGAAAATCTTTCTAGATCCGAAAGACAGTGGGTACTGCCTCCAATTAACCCTGGGGTCAGGGGAAGTCTACCAAACCATACCCTCATTTCAGCTGGCTGTGAGCTTTGCTTCCAACCCCTTCCAGGTGCTGGGCTTCAAGCCTGGCACCCTTAGGCTTCTCAGACTGTTCCAAGTTTGGTCCAGTGACTTTTTATTTGTGCATTTTAAAACATCTTCTAACCTCTTCTCTTAGGTCATAGAATGTATGTGCCCCTTAAGTGGCCAGCCTTGCTATTTCCTGGGGTGGTCAGAAGTACGATTGAAAGTCTAGACATCTAAGTCTCTTATGAATCTTTTCCTACTGTTAGGCTGAAACAGTCCTTTTTTTTTTTTTTGGAGCCAGAATTGTGTGCATTCCCACTGGGAAACACTACAGCCAAACCATCTTAGTTGTTTCTTTATAGGTATTTTAATCTATAAATTTTAACTGTTCTGACCTCAGATTTTAGCGTTCGTGGAACTAATACTGTAGCTGACTGGTTCACACTTGTTTCTTAATGAAATATGGCCTGATGTAAGTATCTTCAGGAGAAATTCATCATGCACCTTTTCTTCTCTGGAGTGAGGGCTGGTGATAGAACCCACCGGGACATGAATGCTCACACAAGTTAGATGCTCTTTGCATCCTCCTGTCCTGCCAGCCTTTGCCTTACCCGTCGTTCTCTCCCTCCAGGAGCTGGCGGTAGGTGGCAATCTCCTTCTCTAGGTGGGTTTTGATGCCTAGGAGGACCTTGTATTCGTTGTTCTGCCGCTCCAGGTCATGGCGGAGCTGCCTCAGTTCCTCCTCGTAATGGGAGATGATCTGTTGCAAATCCTGGAGCTGGTAGGCGTACCGAGACTGGGTCTCCGACAACATGTTTTCCAAAGCAGATTTCTGAAAGAGGAAATGATACTTCTCTCAGTAATTGATTGAAGAATTGATTGAGTCAGTAACATGTGCTTATTGAATACTTAGAATATGTCGATCACTCTGCTAGGTGGTGTGGTAGCTGCTGGGGATGCAAAGACGAGAAGCAGACTGACATACAGGTTTGGGGCTTGGGCAATCTGGAGTTGAACAATGTTGGGACTTTAAAAACCCCATTTTCTGTGCATAAAACCTTTGTATCAGGGAACTCTTGGCCACTCAGCTGCACTCCTAAGTGCGGTGTTTATTGTCTATCATTTGGGATTGGGCATGTACTGCCTGGAACTGAACTGATATTTACCTTCTACACATAGATTTTTTTTTTCCTCTGATAAATAGAGATTATGGGGGTCTAGAACTTTTCCACCCCAAAACACCAAGTGGCTTCACCACTGGGCACTTACAAGCTGTGTGACCTTGGCCAATTTATTTCACCATTTGGAGCTTTAGTGTCCTCGTGTCTAACATGGGGGTACCAAGACCTACCTGGGAAGGTTAATGTGAAGATTAGCAACATCTAATATAATTAACTAGCTAGCAGAACACCTGGCACAATGTGGACACTCAGGAAATGATAACTCTTATTATGATTCTCATCATGAACAATTTGGATGGCAAGTGGAAAGTGAGAGATGTTCCAAGGGAGTTGAGGAGCTGGGGCTGGGGAGAGAGGTCAAGGAAGGCTTTGTGGAGGAGGTAGTGCCCGTCCCAGGAATTTTCTAGTCCAGACTCACCCTGCTGCACTGTGCCTGCAGGTCAATCTCCAGGGCCTGGAAAGTCCGCTTCAGCTCATGGATGTTGCTTTGGCTGCTCTGAACAACTGCCGGACTGGCCACCTCCTGGGACATGGCTGCGGACTGTAAGACCAAGCAAAGGGCAGAGACATTGGCAATGGGACCACACGGCAATAGCACCTCTAGGATGTTTGAGGACCTTTCTTTTACCTGCTCTTGAAACCAAGTGTCCAAGTCTTGATGCTTCTTTTTTATTATAGACTCGTATTCCTGCCTCATATCCTCCAGGATCTTAATCAAATCTTCCCCTGGGGTTGTATCCACCTTCACATTGACCTTGAAGTCATTTGGCACATGCTGTTCCTCCACTTCCTGTTTAACAACAGAGAAAGAAAAGGAATAATTTGTGACGATCAGAGGGCAGGAAGTATACTGCTTGGCAGCACTAAGGGGATATTTTAAAAATTATGTTTCTGTAATTGCTACCCTTTCACTGGTTGGATTTTGTTCCTCAGTTATTATTTGTTGATGACAAAACATTATATGATTTTTTTCTCTTATAATTTTATAAGGCAAAGAATAACACCAGACAGGTAATTAAATGGCCTTTGTGACTACTTCTTAATCCCTGGTTCAAAAACATTTCAGAAATAATGATGCTTACATAGTGTGTGAAGTCCTGCTTAGGAAATGTTGTTTGTTGGTGATGTGATTACACAGTTAAGCAGCTGAACATTTCAGGTTGTAGGCCAAAGCTTTTGGGAAACAGTTCAGTAACCCTAAGCCAAAAAGTGTAGAGGCCTTTAAAGTCTTGTCAAATGCACTGCGTAGGGCTAATGCCCATAGGATTTCATGAAAACTAAGCAGCCACAGGAAAGGTTTAATTAACAGTCATTGTCTAACCAGCTATTCAGAAGCAGGGCCTCTTTTACGGTCAGAAGAAATTTTGTTTGCCTAGAATGGGGATTGTTTCTCTATCATCTTATCAGACTTTCAGGGAATTTAGATGGATGGTAACTTTTTAAAAGTCAGTTAAATGCTTCTGGAAATTAGGATTCTCGATTTTTGCCACTGATTTTATTTACCTTGGTCACTGTTCTATTATCCTTATTCCATCGTTCTCCAACTTGCTTCACATTGGGTCAATAAAGGAAATTCAGTCTGACATATTGATTCTTATGGTATCATATTAACAAACAAGTCTAGATAAACATTGTGTGTTAGCAAAATTGTTGACCAATTCGTCATTAATTTTGATTGACCTCTGGCTGTTGTATTTGACAGCTAAGTAGATAACCTTGAAATTGGAAAAAATGAGATATTTATGTTGTTTCTTATAATTCTTGGGAGTCCCTGGGTGGTGCAGCCTGTGCTCGGCTGCTCACCAAAAGGTTGGTTCGAATTCACCCAGAGATGCCTTGGAAGAAAGGTCTGGCGATGTATTTCCAAAAACTCAGCCATTGAAAACCCTATGGAGCACAATTCTACTCTGACACACATGAGGTCACCATGAGTCGGAGTTGACTTGATGTCAAGGGGTTTTTAATTTGGTTTATCGTTCTCTAGGTTGAAAGACAATAGGACTGGCATCCAAATGATAGTTTCTGTAGCTATTGAATCACCCTGAAATGTGGAGGTTAATGTGTTCCTGTGGGTGTTCTACCTGCTCATGGTACTTCTTCATCAGGAGGAGCTCTTTCCTCATTCCCTCAACCTCCTGTTCCAGGTCTGTTGTGACAATGGTTAGATTGTCCAAGGTCTTTCGGAGGCCCTCAACCTCAATTTCCAAGTCTTTCTTGAAGGAGAATTCATTTTCATACCTGTGGTTAGAAGGAAGGAAGAATACACCTGTTGTTGGAAGGCTACGTTTATAAGGAGTCCCCTTAGTTAAGAGGTGAGGCTCTTACTTTTTAGGTTTCATGAGAGCAAATGAATACATGTAGTGCATTCTTTGTATGTCTGTTCCATGCCACATTTTTCTGTAGTTCTGACTCAATGTTGGTCTTTTAATTAAATTGCAAGAGCAGAATAATAAAGAGCCACATGCCCATCATCTAGACTTAGCAACCGTTAACATTTTGCTGTGTTTACTTCGTCTATATTCTTTGCTGAAGTATTTTAAAGTTAATAGTAGACATTATGGAATGTTTCTGGGTAGTGCAAACAGTTAAGCACTTGGATACTAACTGCAAAGGTTGGCAGGTTCAAATCTGCCCAGAGGCACCTAGGAAGAATGGTCTGGTGATCTACTTCTGATAGTGGTGAGATACGTTTTCCTTTTGTAACAACAAACAAACACAAACAAAAAACACTGTCAAGAAGGAACTTACTTGAGGCTGAAGTCATCCACTGCCATCCTGGCATTGTCAATGAGTAGAATGATCTGAGCATTGTTTATTTTACCGTCCATTATCTGTAACATGCATCAAGAGTCATTTCAGTTGGACACACTCACACAGGAGAGCTGCATTTCTGCCCTCTAGTTTCCTGGGTATATGACTTATTAGCACAGACAACTTTTCTTTCTGGCAGTGGAACAATGAGTAATCAAAGCAATAAATATTTTTTGAGCACCTACTCGGTGTGAAGCACAGGAATGATTTTATAGTAAGGAAAAGGATATGATCTGCAGTCAGTTTCACTGCCTTTTTTTACACTGATATGACTGCCAAAATAATGCTTGAAAAGGAAGGGGAAAGACAGTAATTATTCAGAACACCTTTTAACTTTCTAATATCATGAATACATCTCTTTGCATTTTGCTTGTGCTTATCCACTTCTGAAGATGTAAAACAAAGTTCAAGTTCTGACCCTTTCCTTACTGTGAATATTAGTTCAGATCTCTGAAAGTATAATTATTTGAAATGAACATAATTCTTGTGATGGTATCATGTTTTTGATCAGAATTGTTGAAGAGTTGATAAACTAATTTTAAATGTATTTATAATAGTCATCACATAGCACTTCTTTTTTTTTTTTTTCTTTTGCTCAACGTGTCTATAGCCATACACATAACTTGTAGGTATATGTGCGTTTGTAACTTATGCCACGATGAGAATGCCCAATGGCAGCCATTAAAATATTAACTGAAATCATACTTTACCATCTAATGAAGCAGCTTAATAACCTTTAACCATGTTAAAGCCTCCACTAAAGGCTTTCACTAGATGTTTATATATTATTTTCACATTAAAAAGAAAAATATTGTTGAAAGCGTTTACATAAGCGATTGTGTATATAAATGTGATTTGTAAATACTTCTAGTACATTATAGTCGAGAAATAGTGCACATTTGATGCTTGTCACTATCTTTAGGAAAATAGAGTGGAAAATGTCTCAGGGTCAAAACTATTATATTGGATAGAATGTTGAACTAGGAACCAGGTGGGTTTTGGTCTGGCTGTATTACTTACCATCCATGTGACTGTGGGCCAGTCACTGGGCTTCAACTTCATCATGTGTTAAATGAGGCCTTTGTACTGGAAACAGACTTAAACCTTGAAAGCCCTAGCTCTAAACTTTGGTAATTTAGCTGGAGCCAGAGAATCCTGTGGCTTTCCCTTTGTATTTATACGGTGAATTCCTTTCTTTAGAAAGGATTTTCTTTGGACAGAGTTATACCTCAATACAAAGGCACCTTTTAAAAATCTGGTCCTCTTTAAAGCTCCAATGATTTCATGGAATTTGGTATCATGAATACGCAATAGCAGGATTCAGAGGTGGTAAGAATACTGGGTCTGGAACCTGAAGAGTGAGGCTGGGATCCTGCTCCCACTCACTGAGTGACCTTGTCTGATCTCAGTGTCTTCAAAAAAATAATAGCTACTTCATCAAAGAGTTCTTCGAATTACATTAGAAGAGACTACATAAAATAATGTTATAAAATACGTAGCATATTCTTTTGGCACACTGCAGACACTGTAGAAAAATGAGCTGACGCTGAATTAGCTCATTTGTTGTTGTTTTTAGGTGCCGGGGAGTCGGTTCTGACTCATAGCGACCCTGAACAACAGAATGAAATACTGCCCGGTCCTGCGCCATCCTCACTATTGTTGTTATGCTTGAGCCTATTGTTGCAGCCACTGTGTCAATCCATCTCATTGAGGGCCTTTCTCTTTTTCGCTGACCCTCTACCAAGCATGATATCTTTCTCCAGGGACTGATCCCTCCTGATAACATGTCCAAAGTATGTGAGACGTAGTCTCACCATCCTTGCTTCTAAGAAGCATTCTGGCTGTACTTCTTCCAAGACAGATTTGTTCGTTCTTTTGGCAGTTCATGGTATATTCAATATTCTTTGCCAACGCCACAATTCAAAATCATCGAAATGAATTCAGAGAAATGTGAATTATATAATTTTCTTTTTTTAAATCTAGCACTTTCGTAATTAGAACCAATGTCCTCAAGGTAAACCTTTGCTTACTTGTACACTGAGTTAGTCTGTTTTCTGAAAAAAATCAGCCTTTGAAAACCCTATGGAGCACAATTCTACTCTGACACACATCGGGGGTTGCCGTGAGTCAGACTCAACTTGATGGCAATTGGGTATGAGGTGCTGATTGCCATCCAGAAAAACCATACCATAAATTCCACAGAATTAGAAAATCAAAAATACCATCTGTGGGGTTATTTGACTTTCGTGAGTTAAACTGACAATTTGTCAATCGCAAAGCCCATGTCAATAATCTAATTTCCCAAGCTAGCGTTCTCGTGGTACGTGAGTGATGAGTTCTGAAATGCGTTTGATATAGATCACATTTAAAAACAGGAACTATTTCTCACTGTTTGAGCACACTTAATACAACATTATGATAGAGCCACTATTTCTGAGACATCCGTTGTAGTAATGAATGGATGAGGCTAGATTGAGAAATAATGTATGAGGCATAGGTTTTACATTGTATGTTGTAATTAATCACCTGGACCAAGGCTGTTAGTTCAGTCTTTTAAAAGCTATGGTTGGTGTATTAGTGTAGCATCATTGCTGCCGGGTACATAATCTACTAGAGAGAGGAAAATAGAATTTTTGATGGTAAACCAAAATGCCAAATATTGAGAGCCATTTAGGGAGATTTATGTATAATATCCCTATGACTATGTCCAATTCTGTGTTTCAAAGGGATTGCCTTAGTTTTTGAACTCAATTTCTTATACTCTTTTTGGATAATATTTAATATCCCCCAAAGAGGAGAGGGACTATGTATTACTCAGAGCACTTCAGCAAGGCCCAGGAAGGGCTTCCCACACCAGGTAATTGTGTGACCTCTTGGCGGGGAGGGTTGGTCCTCTGTTCTCTTGTCTGCAAACTGGGGATGTGAGATTAGATAGACAACCTCAACTTCAAAGAGTTGCTTTCTTCAAACAGAAAATACAATTGAGCTAAGAAACCCAGGAAAGACGCATGTGGTCTTTGAAGCTGAAGAAGCTCCATATTTAATCTCAGAGCCCAGAATCCTGGGCTGCCTGTAGAATGGGCAAGCTGTTCCCTCCTTGTCATTGTAACCATTCACTTTTCTCAATTGTGTCCCAAAGAACTTAGGCAATCCCTTAGTCTCAGACTCCTCATCTATAAATACCTACTTCACAGAGTTGTGAGATAATGAGATATGAAATATGTTTTATATGGTTAAAATGCAAATGTGATGTATTATCTTTATTAATAGTATTATTTATGCAGGTGGTAGGCTAGTCAGCACCATTGTAGTGGAAAGTTTGAGGTCATTGCAAATGGATCTTTGTTAAACTCCCCCCTCTGCTTCTTGCCGGTGACTTTGGATAGCTTGTTTAACTTTTCTGAGTTTCAGTTTCTTTACAGGGTTGTTATGTGAAATAAATCACAGTGTTTTCATTCTTGCAGAAAGCTCTGTTGGTATGTAGATTGAGCACCCAGCACAGTGTCTGGCACACAGTAGGTGCTCAATAAATGCTTCCCTCCCTCTTTTCAGCTTTTCCTCTTCTGATTTGGCCACATTTCTGTTGGGAGTCATGTTGTCAGCTATCCATTTTCAAAAATCTTCTATTCTCTCCCTTCTAAAACCAAAACACCTTTATTAAACAGAAAACATGGCGAAGATTGTTGATTCACCTTGTTTTTTACGTAAAGGTAGCCATGCGCTATATAGTTCAGGTAATTACACAGTCAAAGATTAGGTTGATTATTCTATAATTAGGGTTCATTACGAGGACAGATTTATACTATCTTGACTGGTTCTTTCTACATTCAAGCAAGGACGACTGGGTGTTGTGAAATAACCTAGTGTAAATATTAGAAATCTTGCTAGGGTAGGTTAAATCATGATCTTACAGAGAATTTTCTGGGAGTGCTTTATATAGGAGGAAGTTTACATAGTTTTAAAAATAACTTATGAAGGGACCAGATTCCCTCTACTTCTAGTCACTGTTATGAGATGTTCCAGAAGATGGGAGCTTAGCTTTTTTGATGTTTGGTTGAAAAGTTTTTTATTTTTTGCAAAAAGTTCTCCATAACCCATCTTAACTCTAAAGATCCTATAATTATGCTCATTTTATTCATTTTTGTAGAAATACGCCATTCTCAGACTGAGCAATTCTATGTTCTAGCAGCCCACAGGGAAGTCAGAATGACATCTGCTAGTGAAATGACAGCTTTTAAGTGTGATCACCAAAATGGTGTAACTCAGTCTTTCCTGGAGGGATGTAACCACTCTGTCTCTAGGACTTTGAGGTAGAGCAGACGGATGTAATGAAAAAGTCAGTCCTCACTTGTGCCTTGGGCACTGAGCATACAAAATGAATACTGGTTCTTATCATTATTACTACATGGTTGGATCGTAAGTGATACTGGATACTGATGTCCAGCTGACTGCCGTACATTTTTTAGATTTTTTTTTTTTTGGTGAAAAATCAGGCAGTTTCATTTTTAAAATAGTTTTAACTTTTCTGTAATTTTTGCTGCCTTCACTTCCCACGTAACTTATGTATAGAAGATAAATTATACAAAACAGACTTGCACAAGCTCCAATTTAAGCTATAAACAAGAAAAGACCGTCGAATACCTTTGTGCACAATTACTTTATGCTCGCTTGCTATTTTCCTAGAAATTGTCGCCTGTACTGATTTCTCCTCCCAAGGGTCCCCTGGAAATGCAGCTAGCTGTGTCTCCAGCCACAGGGTCACCCAGGACCTTACCTGCTCCTGCAGGCGACTGATGTTTTCCTCATATTGAGAGTAATCTTGCTTCTGTCCGGGCTCCCTCTGCTGATGCCACTTTACTATGTGGCTCTCCAGCTTCACGTTGGCCTCCTCGAGGGCCCGCACCTTCTCCAGATAGGAGGCCAGCCGGTCGTTAAGGTTTTGCATCGTTTTCTTCTCATTTCCACCTAACAGAGAACTGCCCCTTCCGGATCCCCATGACCCTCCAGGGTTCAGGCAGCTTGGCCTGGTGAAGGACAAGGAGATGCGGACGCCCCCTGCACCACCATGGACAGTGGGAGCTCGGGGGAAGCTCCCCGGCCAGCCCCGGCCTCTTCCTGTGCCATGGAGGAAGCCCAAGGGGGTCTGGCTGAAGCTGTGGCTGGAGTTCATGGTCCCATCAGCGTGCAGGGCAGGACTGGGCTCTGCTCTGCTCCCTGGCACCACAGAACTGAGCTGCCCCAGACTGCCCTGGATGGTTTTATGCCCTATGCTGTGGGAGTTCCCTTCTCTGACAACTGTACCAACAAGATCTTATCATTGTGCAACAAGTGTTTCTTCTTGGTCAATCTGCAGTGCCCCAGGCTTACACACATTGTTGTTGTTTACAGCCACATCCATGTGTCAGTTTGCTAACTCTCTTCCAGTTGTGACTGGAGGTGAGGCCCACAACACTAGGTGGGTACTAGTTTCTGGTGTCTTGCTAATCTTTCAGTGTAGGTTTTTCCGTTGTTCATCTGTCTGAACAGGGTCAGATTAAGGTTCACAAAAGGCTTATTTGGCCTGCTATAGATTTCCTTTTAAAAACTAGAAATTAAACGTATGCACCCACATTAACCCACACATATACACCCCAGCTCTATAGGGAGGAGGGTGGGGGAAAGACTCACAAAAGCAGAGCCAGATCAGAACGGAATCTTAGATTCTGGAATAAGAATACTTGTGCTGAGGAAATGAAGAACGGTCTGAAGATCTGATGTCTTGGCGGCCGTCACTGTTTGATGGAAAGTAATTTCAAAGGAATCGTCCTTTAGAACCAACCCTCAATTGCAATTAATTAATTAATGGCCGTGACTTCCACTTCCAAGGTGCCTTTTATCCCAGCACACCCCAAAACTAAACAAAGTCTGCTGTGCTCAGGACTGCCCTTAGCCTCTGGGCAGAATGCAGCAGTTGCTTAACTGCCCAGCAGCCCAGCTCTGTGGCTTAGCTTGGAATGGTTGGGCTTTGTGAGCCTGTGCCCTGCAGAGAGCATGGGGTGAAACAGGAAACGTGCCATCGGCTGTCTACTGTGCTTGATGAATTTTACACTTTGTCTGCCAAGGTAAAGGTTAGGGATGTATAAAAGGGTAGATTGGGGGTGGGGAGCCACGTGCTGGTTAGTGGCAACTAGATTTAAAGGGAACTTAGAAATCAAATGTCAGCATTGAAGGGCACTTAAGCATTCCTTAGTCTAAGTCACTTGTATTACAGATGAGGAAACTGAAGGCTGTAAAGGGGACATGGCAAGTGACAAAGCCAGGGCAGGAATCTTTTTGCCACATAGCACTGTAACTATGAGTTGAAATTGACTTGAGGGCACCCAACAACAATAACTGTGATTAAATTTGTGAGTATAGTATTCCTTTATTATCCCTTTAATGTTCATGAAATCAGTAGTGATGACCTGTCTTTCATTTCTGATATTAGTAATTTGTGACTTCCCTTTTTCTACTGGTTAACCTGGCTAGAAGCTTACCAATTTTATTGAGCTTTGCGAAGAACCAGCTATTGGTTTCATTGATTTTCTCTATTGTTTTTCTGTTTTCAGTTTCATTGATTTCTGCTCTAATTTTTACTATTTCTTTTTTTCTGGATTTAACTCACTCTTCTTTTTCTAGTTTCCTAAGGTGAAAACTTGGATTATTGACCTGAGATCTTTGTTCTTTTCTAGCATATGCAATTAGTGCAATGAATTTCTCTCTAAGCACTGCTTTTGCTGTATCCCACAAATTCTGATAGGTTGTGTTTTCATTTAGTTCAAAATACTTTTAATTTCTCTTGCGACGTCTTCTTTGACCCATGTGTTATTTAGCACTGTTTTAATAGAGTTGAATCTTCACAGAGTCCTTCACAATATTTCTCTTTCATAATGATAATGGGACTTTCCAGTTTGCATGGCACTTTGATATTCTTTATTTAATCCTCACAACAACTCTTGATGTAGGCAGGCAAGGGTTACTGTCCCTATTTTATAGAAAAGGAATCAGGAAGTGCAATAGAAGTGCAGTGACTAAGAGCAGATTTAAATGTACTGAATGTAAGTCAGCACACCAGTTCTTAGGTGTCACTGCCTTTGCGGCATGCTGTTTCCTCTGCCTGGAAAGTCATTGCCAGTGCTACGCAACCCTGTTCCACTGCCTTCAGGTCACAGTTCAAGGGTTACTTCCTTTACCAATAATTTTCCCAATTCTACTGCATGACTTTGGTATCCCTGATATGAGGAAACCCCCTCTTCTGGATCCCAAGATCCTTCAGAGGGGCAGACAGCTTGTCATCCTCCTCCCCACCCCCCACCATAGAAGCTGGGAGTCCCCAGCTGGGGTGGAATCAACCCCAAATTATTGTATGACAGTGCTAGAAGAGATTGGGGATAAACAATCTCTTCTAGCGCTATCATACAGTGATTTTGCTTGTGACTTCTAATGTATGACGTTCTGTTGGATTTTAACAGAAATAATGCCTTTTTTTGGTAAAAATGATACATGCTTAGTATAAAAAAGTCAAGTAGTCCATGGAAGTACAAGAAAAAAAGACTAAAAAACCCAAATTCCACCACACAGACATAACCATTGGTAAAATTTGGTGAGCATCTTTTCAGATACTATGTGTATATATTGATAGACTAGAATAATTTCAGAAAAATAAGTTCATATAATTTATTGTATTTTAGAAAGAAGTAAGTTAATTAAAATTTTTAATTGACAAATAAGAAACTAAAATGAAAGATACTTTAGTTACATATTTTCTGTGGGATTTTAAAACTTTATTCATATTCTTTTAAATTTTACATTTTTAAGAAGATTAAAATGACCTGTCAAAGCCAATATTTGTAGAATCAGAACTGGAAAAGTCAACAAGAAGTCTTTTGTTATTCTGCTGTAGATAGGCCAACAGCAAATTGCTGAGCTTATTTTTAAAGAACGCAAAATATGAAGGCTCCCACTGCATTCTCAGTAGATGGCTAACATTTAAACATCATTTTGATCAGTGAGCATTTTGCCTGCAATATGGTTTCATGAACTTTTTTGTATCTCCATGGAGTTCAAATTATTCAGAATCTCAATCATTTTTCTGTGCATGACTTTCCAATGAAATGATTTATAATTTTCATGTTTGGTTAGTCTTTCTGATGAACTGAGATGTCGTCTTTAAAATGGAGTGGATATTTTGTTGGAGAAGTTGCATAGTGAGTGAATGTTGGGGGTTGTATATGGGTGTATGAGGGATTTGAAGGGAGCCCCTGCAACTGTTAGCTGTCATTAACTGGGAGCACAGTTTGTTCGTGCCTTTCAATGACAATCATTTAATCACTGAAACATCCTATAGGCACCCTGTTCTTTATAGTGAGAGAAGAATGGTAAAAACAATTGCCAAAATAGATTTTTACTATGGATGACATTTCAGAACAGATGAGTAGTAGATCTTCAGGCACAATTGCTATGTCATTATCCTACAGTTTGGAGGATTACATAAAAAGATTAGATATTTATAGAAATAAACCACAGCGTCTGCAGTGACACCAGGTCAGACATTTTGTAAGTACCTAAGTTTATCAAACTGTGGCCCAGTAGAAACAAAATAAACTATTTTCTCCTATTTTGATTTGTCCAGGAAAAAGGGGCCATCCCATAGAAGATCTGAGTTAAAAAGTATTCAGTATTGTATTTCAGACTTAAGAGGAAAGGAGTCAACTTATTGTTATTTCTAAATAGTAGCTGGATATAGGTACCGAGGTACAAAGAAAAATAATAGACACACACGCAAAAAAAAGTAAAGCTTATAAAAGGAAGTTTTCTCAAATGATAGGTAATGGTACAACTATGGTGAAAAGCCTCCTTTATTTGATTTTTAAAACGAGAAAGAATTAGGAAAGGCAGACAGAGCCTTGTAAGTGACCACAAATGAATAGCATTTGGGGCCTTAGAGAAGAACTAGGAAATTTGAAGAGACAGAGATATCAGAGGGAAGAAGAACAACAGGTTTCAATGAACTGTGGTCTGTATTGATAGAAATACAAGTCAGCAAGCATTTATTAGGGTCCTACTCTGTATCAACATAGTTTTAAGTGATTTGGAACATACGAAAAAGATGAAAGACATGTTTGCTGCACGTACTGTATGTCAAAGAACTGCCTAATTATCTCACCACTTAGTTGTAAGGAAGCTTAAAGACCAAAGCTATGGCCGACTCATCTTTAATTCCTCAATACTTTCAGCTTAAGGAAGGCCCTCAGTAAATGCTTGTTAAATTTGATCTTGGGAAGAATATAAAGCAGTACTAGACTGTGTAGAATAGAGTAAATGAAATAGAAATGAGAAGAAAAGAAAGATGACGTGAGTAGGTGTAGTTAAGGAAGATAAACTCTCCAAAGGAGTGGATGGATACAGAAGGCCAAAGACTGTTACTTAAGGCACTCTCATAGTTGGGCAGGAAGAAGAGGTCCCAGGCAACAGAGTCAGAAAGAATGGCTGGAAAGAAAAGAAAAACCCTGTAGAATTTCCCAAATTCTGGATTGTGCTGATTTCATCTTCATAGTATTTTCAACACATGTTCCTCTGAGTCCTATTTCTTGTGAACTAATAGACCTAAAGGTTTTTATTAGATTCAGATTTGATTTTTTTGGCAAGAATACTTCATAGGGAGTGTTGACAAAATGTCTTATGTCACCTTTCGTTAGCAGCTTTACTTGACCATTGTTAAACTTCTGTATCCATTGGAAATTTTTTTCCGACTGAAAAAACAATACAGTGCTTTAATTTAAGCCGAAGTTTTTAACTTGGAATCCAATGAGTAGACTTCAGGAATTTAGTAAAATTTCTAAAGCTATACGCACAATTGTGTCTATCTATTCACTTTTCTGAGGAGGCGATACACGGCTTTCATTAACTTTACAAAGGAATGCATAAATAGAAAAAGTCAAGATCCCATCATATGAAACTTTATCGACTCCTTCCTTTGGTTGTCATCTAGTTATCAATAACATGTTTAGGATTTCCATGTTGTATGTTGTTACTGCGTGCCGTCAAGTTGATTCCAACTCACAGTGACTCTATAGGACAGAGTAGAACTGCCCCGTAGGGTTTCCTAGGCTGTAATAAGGAGCCCTGGTTGCACAGTGGTTAAACATTGGGCTACTAACCAAGAGGCTGGTGATTCAGACCCACCAGCTGCTCCATGGGAGAAAGATGTGGCAGTCTGCTTCTGTAAGGATTTATAGCCTTGGAATATTATGGAGCAGTTCTACTCTGTCCTGTAGGGTTGCTCTGAGTTGGAATGGACTAGATGGCAACAGGTTTGGTTTGGTTTAATCTTTACAGAAGCAATCACATCTTTCTCCCAAGGCGTGGCTGGTGGGTTCGAACCACTGACCTTTTGGTTAGCAGCTTTGAAATGAACCATATTTATCATCTGTTTCATATGCCTCATTTTACGTACAAAGGACCAATCACAAAAAAAAGAGCAGTGCCTTTGGGGAGGGCACATGGCCTCAGAAAGCACAGAGCTAGGACTGGCAGTAGGGTTCTTGCTATTACATTGCTGTTGAGCTCCTTATTCCCTCTACTTTTCTTTCTTTTTTTTAAGCCATAGAGATGATGTTTTTGGTTCATTAAAAATCTTGCACTTGTGGGAGGTTAATTCAAGCACTTGCTCATTTACAAATGGCCAGCTGTACTTAAAATGTTTCGGTTACTTTTATCCTATCCTCATACTATGCATTTTATCTCAAATTCCATTGCTGGTAA